TTTTAAAAATCTTTCATAATTATTGATTTGGCTAGTGACATGATGTTGATGTGGCACGAGTGTGAAACACTTTCCCATCATGGAACTGGTTGTATTGTGTTAGGGTTGAAATAAATTCACTTCTAAGTAATTCAAATGTATAATAGGTCGTCACAATAGTTTAAGCGTATAACTGACTTTTCGTGACAAATTTAGGAGGGAGGGGGTTATGCCTTCCCCTAAATATAATATTAGAGGTTGACTAAGTGATTCAGAGAATCCATACTCCACCGGTAGATTTCAAGTTCAAATTGCAAATATTATATTTTTATTTTCAAACCCCAAGTTAAAATTATGGATCCGTCCGGCCCTTCCATTTTCTATAACATTATTACTAATAATACTACCTCTCATGGGATTGATCTCATTGGGATTATAATGATTGAAGTTTGGTAAACTTCTCTTTGACCAACAAAAAAAATCACAATAGGAATAAGTCCAAACTTTGTAGCTAAGTATTAAGTTATCATTTACCTTAAACAATATCTATTAATATATACATAAGGATTCAAACCCATAAGTATTTTCTTGAAATCCAAGTTCATCATGACTATGTTCTTCCCTAGTAGGTTATGAGTTCGAGATTTGGACTCATTTAAGGCTTTATTTATATAGATTTAGTGTCCTCAAATTCTTATTTTGTGCCAATAACTTATGTAAAACCCTTGATTTACAGGTATATGGATTGAGGAACAAAGCAAGGACACTAATTTGCAAAAATGAACAAAGCGAGCTGAAAGAATGAAGAAAGGCAAGCATGGTGATCGCCAAGTCCATTTGGCTAGTCGCTGAATGGCTACTTGACCACCTAAAGTTCCAGTGTGCCAAGCCCTGAAGGAAAGAACTAAGTTAGCGAGAGAAAGAGCACTCGACGGATCGCCGAGTGGTTCCGCGATGCAGTGTTAGATCGCCCAAAGTTACAAACCTTGAGGATCCTGAATGCCAAGGTAGAAGGGCAATTGAGGTGACCAAAGGGCGGCTCGCCGAGTGGTTTAGCGAGCGCGACTTACTTCGCCAAGTAATTCTTCGCAGTACATTTTTGGCAACTATAAATACATTTTTAAACTTTTAGTTTAGAATCTAAGATCATATATTTTAAGTTTTTATTAAGTTTTTAGCTGTAGAGACAATTTTCTCTAGTTTTTCCTAAGCTTTGAAGAATTGAAGTTATTCAGTTTTGAGAAATTGGAAGTGGGTCTTTGAGATTCTTCGAATCAGAGCATTGTAAGGACGAATCTACACTTACCCAGTTGATGGATAATCAAATTGGTAACTGTGTTTACCTTTTTATGATGTCTAGCTAAAACCCCAATTCTTGGGGTGTGATTATATGATTATAGGTTGATTTGGCTTATGGGTATTGCAAATTGTTAGTTTAAATGCTATTTAAAAGTGAGTTCAATAATTTATTTTGGTTTAATTAAAGAATTCTAGTTTCAAATACAATTCTACCTTTGTGTTCATGGCTTGATCGAGAGAGGTTTTAGAACTAAGATGTTTGATTGATGGTCTGTGGGTATTGGGTTGACTCGGGTTCAGCTCGAGAGAGTGAATCCTAAACCCTTTTCCACACATTCAGCTCGAGAGAGTGATTGGAGTAAGGTGTGGGTTGTTCTTATTTTGCATGCTTGTTGATGTTCGAGGGAAATCAACATGATTTGGGGTAAATTGTTCGAGAGAAAGTTTATCTCCTCTTTAGTCTAGCTTACTCATTGATATTTAGCCATTTTCTAATAGTTGCAATTACTCATTTATCTATATTAGCCTATAACCGAATCATATCCCAAGAACCCGTCTCATTATTGTTATTTGGTATTGTTTGCTGTTGTTTGTAGTTGATAATTAAAACTAAAACCTCTCATTTGACATTTGTGTCACCCCTGATTTGAATGATGTTTTTATTCGATAACTATTAATCCTATAACTGATTTGAACATGTTCATACTTCCCAATTGAATATGAAACACGTACCGCCTGTGGGATTCGACCCCAACTCATTTAGTTGGGTTTTATACTGACTAGCGATCGTTGACACTTACAATTGGATGAAGTGTCCTTGAAACGTTAATTAAAATAGGGCCACTGTCGGGGTGTGGTGTTGTTTGAAATTCTTTTGGTGAAGTTGAATTTTGTTCTTGTTAGTCATACTTGAATCTACTTACTTTTAGTTTTGGTTTTTGTGTTGTTGTTTTAAAACAGAGGAAATGAGTGTCAATGGAAGCAATGGTAGCCAAGTGGGCCACCAAGATGACATCGGAAACCTCAATGATGTCAATGACCCAAATCTTGTGGGTGGAGTTGGTTCCATTCGCTTGCCTCTGGCAAAAGGGAACGTTGTGTTCTACATTATAAGCACCAGTTGCAGCTCTTGCAATTGAAAGGGTTGTTTGGTGGGTTGGCTCATGAGGATCTCCATAAGCATATAAGGAACTTTGTCGATGTTTGCAGGACATTCTCCTTTAAGAACATATCCCAAGAATCGATCCGATTGAGGTTGTTCCCATTTTCTCTAATGGGCACTACTAGAAATTTGACCTAATGCAATGCTTATTCGGCAACAATTTTACAACCGTGGCAATAGAGTATGTGTTGCCACAGTTATAACCGTTGCCACATATCCTTCGAACAAATAGAGTAATTCTTAATATAAACCGTGGTATCATCTAAATAATCGCCGCTATAGATTATCTATGTTCACATACTTATTAACCGTGGCAAAATAACACCTGTGGCAATGGTTTGTTTAAGTGAAAAGTAAATAAAATTGCCCAACCAGCGAATTTGATGTGTAAAAAATTATTTCCCTCCACTAATTTCATTGACCGGCACTTTTTTTATTTTAGTGAACAAAATACATTCCAAATACCCATTCCACTTCTCCAATAAACCAAAATAAAAGTGATGAGTGCGTGGTCTTCTTCTCCAATAATCAAATCAAAGCCCTAAAATTTCAGAACTTCGGTGACTCCTTCTTCGTCGACAACAAATTTTGAGCTCCGGTGAAGAAATCAGTTTCAGTGATAAGCTACAGTGATCTTCTTCTCCAGTGTGAAGTGTTCATCTTCAGTGGTCTTCTTCTCCAAAAGTAGTCTTCTTCAAAATTAAGCTTCTGCAGATAAAGGTGTACTATTTTTAAGGTGATTTCTAAGTCCTCATTATCTCTATTTGGTTATACATGTACTATTTTCCAAAATCAGAAATTCCATGTAAGGGCTTCTAAATAATCTTAAAGAAAAACAAATGGGTTTGTTGAAATGTATGTTATTTGTTCTGATTTAGGTCTGTTTGACATAATCCATTTGTAGTTTAGAGTTTGTAACTCAAATTTTGTGAAGATTCGATAACTTTGTGAAAAATCATTGTGAAGTTGGGTTTCATTTTTATGGAACAACTAATGTTTTGTAGTTGATTTTGTCCTAGGGCTTTGAATATTTTGATTTGCATTATGAGTTTTGTCTATCTATGTGAACTAAAAATTTTCATTTGTCTAAAGTTTGAAGTATTTTGATTTGCTTATCATTATGAATGTTGCCAAAGTATACTGATATAGCTACTATCATAGATGATACATTAAGTTGAACAAAATATGTTTTCAACTGATGTGGAATATATATAAAACAATTGGTGAAAACTCCATTTTATTGGATTTTGGATGTTGAAACCTATTGCTCATGTTTTCTCTTTTAATTTATTTATAGTATCTACATAATGATTGTTCTAGTATGTTTATTTATGTGTTGGAAAAATTTCATGTTCCTAAGCTTCCGTGTTCTGGAAAACCACAATGTATGCATATGTTTCATCACTTTATGACCATTGTGGTTTCTCTAGTTTTATGGCTGATGAGCAGTACGTTTTCGACATCTCTGTCCTGTATAGAAACTTCACATTCCCTTTAAGTGGAACATTTTATTTTTGTTGCCGGAAGTTTGCTAGCAACTTGTTCTCAAAAGGCCAAGCATAATATAACTCTTTGTCTATGCAGCATACTAGTGTTCCAGATCATTTCTCCTTTCCTCAACCTAGTGAGTTCACCTAATATTATCATAGTTGTTGTGAATGAAAATGTAGCAGATGCAGTCAAGATGTAGTGTCCCCTGTTATATCAATTCTACTCTTGCTCATTAGCTCTAAGATTTGTACTACCTTAGGATACTTTCATGTGTACTGCTGTTTGGTTAATAGTTTAAAGTGATCTAAAATGATCTCATCAAGACATTTCTTGAAAACCAAGGTGTAAAACTGCCAGGAGCAACATTACACCCAACATAATCATGAATTACAGGAAATCATGCCCCTACATAATTTTTTTCAACCTTCAACAAAATAATGAATTACAGGAAATGTGAATAACATTTATTGATTGCTAAACTGCCAAAACCAAAGATAATTACCTCATCTTCGCTAGATAGATTCACACTTCTTCATCAAGTACTTTGGATGAACAAAACTGGAATATTGCCATCCCTGCAGTAGAATGTAAAATATATTTCAGTGTAAAGCAAAAAAGGTGCATAGATGCTTCTCAAATTCTCAAGCTAAAGGCAACTTAAATCAAATGCTAAATTTGTCCTCACAACACACTTTATGCAATCATGTTATTTTTTGTTTAGAATTAATCTAAATGTACTCAGACTTAAAGCATAACCAACTTGAAGGTCAGCTCAAGTGATCCTGAAAAGAAACAAAGTAGTCAACCATAATCTGTCATTTTTTCTGTGTAGTAAGGCAGTACCTGCAATGTACTATAGAATAAATTGAGGAATTAAACTATCAAGTAAAATATAGGTTATGTAACTAAATTGCACTTACCTAATGACCTATATTAGATAATTTACAATCATGATTTTGTTAAAAACAAAAAGGTAAAAGAATATCTTGAAACTTTGAAAGGTAAAATTCTATTGATACTGCTTGTACTCATGAATTATTTTCTTGAATGTTTTGCTCATGTAACATAGGATATTCAATGGATGGATCTCCGAAGATCCACCGATGAGTATATCCATGGAGTTAATGATTTCCTAGATAAGGCATTTGAACGAGCTTCCCAAGGAGATGAAATATTATGTCCTTGTAAGAAGTGCTTTAATCGTTATTGGCATTGTCGAAATGTGGTGGAGGATCACTTGATTTGTCATGGGTTTGTTCATGGATACACCAAATGGGTTTTCCATGGAGAAGGGTTTTCCTCAAGAAATACGCCATATCCAACCAATGATGATGAAACTTTCGACAAAGAAGACGGTATTGATAAACTACTTCAAGATACTTTTAGAAATGTAGCAGATGACTTGAGGCATGGAGGAGTAAGAGAGGGACTATCTGAATATGCAAAGAGATTCTTCAAATTAGTGGAAGAAGGGAAGCAAGAGTTGTATCCGGGGTGTAAGAACTTTTCTAAGTTGAATTTCACCATTCGGTTATACTTGTTTAAATGCATTCACAAGTTGAGTAATGTAGCCTTTTCAGATTTGTTAGACTTGATAAAAGAGGCATTTCCCTTTGCTCAGATACCCGAGTCTTTCTACAAGGCAAAAAAGGTGATAAAGATTTGGGTCTTCATTATGAAAAAATTCATGCATGTACTAATGACTGCATGTTATTCTGGAATGACACTGCAAAGTTAGACAAGTGCTCAGTGTGTGGATCTTCTAGATGGAAGAATGTTCATGATGACTTGACTAATAAGGTCACTAAAATTCTAGCAAAGGTTTTAAGGTACTTTCCTTTAAAGCCTAGGCTTCAGAGGATATTCATGTGTTCTGAAACATCTGTAGCTATGAGATGGCATGATACTGAACGACCCAAAGATGGAAATTTAAGACATCCTGCTGATGGGGAAGCTTGGAAGGATTTTGATTCCTTGCACCCTGACTTTGCTAGTGATGCTCGTAATGTTAGATTGGGTCTTTCAAGCGATGGTTTTAATCCATTCCGAACTATGAGCATTTCCCATAGCACATGGCCGGTTATGTTGATGAATTATAACTTACCACCATGGATTTGCATGAAGTCGGAGTATATAATGTTGTCAATGATTATTCCAGGTCCATCGTCTCCTGGAAATGATATAGATGTATACTTACAACCACTGATTGCAGAGTTGAAGGAACTATGGGAAGTGGGAGTGGAAACATATGATGTTGTAACAAATCAAACATTTATGATGCGTGCAACTTTATTGTGGACAATTAGTGATTTTCCAGCATTGACAATGCTTTCCGGATGGAGTACCAAGGGGAAATGGGCATGCCCCACTTGTAATCATAATACTTGTTCCCAATATCTCAAACATAGTCGTAAGATGTGTTATTTGGGTCATCGAGCATTTTTACCTCATGATCATCCATATAGAAGAGATAAAACATCCTTAAATGGTAAAGAGGAGCATAAAGTTGCACCTACTCCCTTATCAGGCGTACGAGTTCTTGAAGAACTTCGTGAATTCAATAATGTTTTTGGAAAGAGCCAAAAGAAAAGAAAACGAAAGAATGATGGTCCATGGAAAAAAAAAATCCATATTTTTTGAGTTGCCATATTGGGCAACCAACAAATTGAGGCACAATCTTGATGTGATGCACATAGAGAAGAATATTTGTGATGCTTTGCTTGGGACTTTATTGGATATACTTGGAAAGTCCAAAGATCATATAAATTCTCGCTATGACTTGCATGAGATGGGGATACGCAAAGAGCTTCAACTAGTAAACGATAGTGATACTGAAAATATTCATTTGGCTAAAGCTTGTTTCTCTATGAAACCAGAAGAGAAAAGGTTATTTTGCACCGTTTTAAAAGATGCCAAGTTACCAAAAGGATTTGCCTCTAATATATCAAGTCGTGTGCAAATTGAAGAAATGAAAGTATCAGGATACAAAAGCCATGATGCTCATTTCATATTACATTACTTGCTCCAGGTTGCTGTCAGAAAAGTGTTGCCCAAAAATGTGTCTTTGGTCTTGATTAGATTGGGAAATTATTTTAGAGCCATATGTAGTAAGGTTATAAAAAGAAGGGATCTTGAGAAAATGAAGGCTGAAATCATAGATATAGAATGTGAGCTTGAAAAGATTTTTCCTCCATCCTTTTTTGATATAATGACACATTTGCCTATTCATTTAGTGGATGAAATTAAGCTTGGAGGCCCGACTCATTTGCGTTGGATGTATTCTACTGAAAGAACTATGTGTGACTTTAAGGGGCTTATTCGTAATCAAAAAAATCCAAAAGGGGCAAATAATAGAGGGTTTTTCAGCTATAGAGTGTTTGACCTTTATTTCGAGATACCTACCTGATATGGTGAAGACAACATTTAGTAGGTATCAAACCGAGGATGATGAGGACAATCAAACAGAGGAAGGTGATGCTTCTCCTTTATTTCCTAAGACAGGTCATCCAATCGGAAGTATGAATAAAAGAAAATACAAGACTTTTAACATGGAACATCATGAGTGGTTTGAAGCTCATCGATATGCTTTGTTCAATACTGGAGATGAAAAAGTAGAGACATTCATAAAGTAAGATAAAATAGTCATTTGTTTTTAAAAATCATTTATATGTTATGATAATGTGTTTTAAATTCCATTAAGAAATATACATTGTTTAAATTGCATATCATGCTTGCAGGGAACATAAGCATTTAATTGATAATCGTACCAGAGGAAATGCATGGGTAAAAGCACAGATCCATAGTAGAGAATTCAGTGATTGGTTTAGGGATAAAGTTAAAAATATTGAAGTGTCCAATCACTTAAGATGGCTAGCTAAAAGGCCTAATTTTGTGGCTAAAAGATATACTGGATATTTCATTAATGGATATAGATTTCATACAAAGACACGGGATGACCCTTGCAAGACTCAGAATAGTGGAGTGACTTTGTCAGCAACAACAGATAGTTTTGCTAGTGCTAGGGACCAAAATCCTATCGATGGAATGGTTATCTATTATGGAATTATTCAGGATATCATTGAGATTGATTATTGGGGTTGCTTTAGTGTTGTACTTTTTAGATGTGATTGGTTTCATAACGAAGTCGATGAATATGGATTGACTCGGGTATACTTTAATAAAAAATGCAGCACGAATGATCCTTTTGTACTAGCATCTTAAGTGCATCAAGTTTTTTATGTGGAAGACCCAGTTGAGAAAAATGTATATTATGCAAGAAATAAAGTCCCGGTGGATTTGTATGATTTGGAGGAAGAGAATTGTCCTAATATTGAAGAAACATTTTGGAGAGAGACTAACGATGACATTGGTTCATCAGAAATAGTACTCGATGTAGATGTTAGATGGTCGAGAGAAGATCTCCCTATTGATATCATTGATCTGCCTGCCCTTGCACAACATTCAGAAGATGTAACTATGGAAACATCAGAAGAGGAGGATGACTTTGATGATACCGATTGGGATTGGATGGAGGCTGATGATTGACAAAGGATCTTCCGAACTTGTTCAAATACATTCTCTTCTTAACTTTTTGGTAGTGAGTAATAAATACCTTTTTGAGTTGCATCATATAAAGTATGAATGTCGATTGGACTCTATTTGGATTTCTGCCTATTTGCTACTACTAGTTGTTTGATTTCTGCTTATTTGTTCTGGAATATTTTCTTGCTAATGTTGGTACGTACTATAGATGTATTAGTAATTAAGATTCTTTGTTTATTGCTTTGTTATACTTCTCTTTGCATCTTCTGCCATTTCTCTAAAATCCCATTGAGTAGCAGGCTCTCGAAAGTTAGATTTCAAACTAGTTAAGATATAAATTAGTTAATCAACTTCAGCTTGAATCCATTGCTTGTTATTCATCTTCCCTGAGCTAGAATTTTCCTTGTTGGATGGTTGAGAAGTGATTTCTTGACCAGCAATTTTTTTCAAATAAGAAACAAGAGGAGAATTATTCTTGATAATATGCTTCAGCTACTGATCCTATGGTTGGTTGTTCTTCTCACTTTCATTGTTTTTGTTCTTCACATTTGAAAATTCTACACTAAGAGGCTTCTTCTGTCTTATTTTACACAGATTTAGATAGTCATGAGTCAACAAGAGTCTTCAAAAAGAAACAAAAGAGCAAAAAAAATAAGACATATGCTAAACCTGGATCATTATCATTCTTGGCAAATAAAAAACGATGGCTATTAACAACAAATGAAATTGTTCAAGCTATAGAGTCAGAGAAAGGACATCTGCTTAAATTGATTGAACAACAACCAGAAGCACCACAATCTGAAGCTAATGGACAATCTGTAGAGGAGCAACCTCTAGAGCAGGAACCTATAGAGGATCAAGTGCAAATGAACTCTGTCACTCCTCCAACTGGTGAACAACCTGAAGAACAAGGTAACATATAAACTTAGAAACTTACTAAATTCATCTATGAATTCTAATTTCTTATATTTTCTTATAGCTAAAGGTGATTCCAGTAAAAACAAAAGAGGTCAAACGCAAATGCATAATGTACATGCACGAAAAGAGCGTAAACTGATCTTATTGAATAAGCTAAATCAACCGGTTGGTCCTACTGAAGACGTTGTGACAGAGTTAAGTAGCTTTCTAGGTACATTGGCAAGAAATGCAACTCTTTGCCCATTTGATATATTTGATTGGAGGAGCATGGATACTAAAAAGGATTTATGGGATTATACTAAGGTTTGGAGTTTCCAATATTTAATTTCTTGTAATATTATTTTACTTCAATTGGCGAACTAAATGACACCAAATTGTAGGAGAAATACATTATTCCTGAAGCTGCAAAAGATTGGGCTTTGGTAACAATTCGAGAGGCTTGGAGAAGGCATAGACGTGACTTGAAGATAAATTATTACGATCCATATGAGAATGATGAAATTCGAATGGAAAAAAAGCCTGGTCATATTCCAGAATGTCAGTATAGAGAGCTCCTTAAATATTGGAAGTCTGAGCAATTCAAGGTAAAATGTACTTCAGATTCTCAAACATCCAGCTTATTCTTCTCCTGATCTCTTTTGTGATATAATTGCTGCTGCAACTTTATTTTTCTTTAACTTTCTCTTCTGCTATTCTCTCTATTGCAATATTGTTGCAGCTTGTTACTTCTTCCAGTGTGGTAGTCACAAATGTAACAGGATAATTTTTTTGACATGTTGAGGATAATAAAACTTTATGAAATGTTGTTGGGAGTGAGACATTAGGGAGGGCTTTTCTGCCCTTTCTTATAGGGAATAACAAACACTTCAATAAAAAGAGTGGTTATCAGTCATTTTTTCTTCTCTTATCTTGTTCCTATGATCCTATCTATAGCTCACAATTGTCAAATTTGCATAGGATGTCTTCATTTTCATTATTAAATTATGATTTGATATTGGTATATGAAAAAGGTAACAATATCTTCATCAGCAAGAAGATAGTTGGTGACTATTGTGTTCTGACTTGAATAAGATAAATGATTGACCAAAGGGTGGCTGTAACTGTTATTATCTATGTTTATCACATTTCCTTCGACTAAAAGATATGCTAGTAAGTAAGAAAGAAATAATCAGTGAATGAAGACAATCAAAGGATAATCAGACCAATATAACATGCATCTGCATTTTCATTGAGGGTGCAATGCTTCCAAGAAAGTGAATTATCCTAATTTCTTGCCTGAAGGGTAATCAACTTTCTCTTCTGCTATTAAGGTTAACTGAACTCTTCTGCTATTCTCTTCTCTGTTTCATAAAGTTTTATTATCCTCAACATGTCAAACTCAGTAATTTCATTTAGAAGTTGATAAGATATAAATGTAACAGGATAAAAAGTGACGTGTTCAACTCTTTACTCAAAAAGAAAAAATCTTAAGAACTTATTTATTAGTTAAGTTTGATCGCTGAAATTTGCATCAAGGTTCACTAAACTAACTGCCCTTTTGGATAAACTTAGTTTGATCAGTGAAATCTACAGATTGGTTTTAGCTTCATATGACAGTAACATTCGTACTTACAAAGCATATTCTTTAGTTGGATTTGTTAAAAAAGAAATATTGAGACATTCACCTCGTCTAGTACATTCTGTAGCACCAATATGCCTTTGGTTAACATTATTGATTCATTTATTTGCAGAAAATGTCTGAAACAAATACTAAGAACCGGAAAAAGCTGATGAATCCACACACAGCAGGCAAAAAGAGTTTTGCTTTAATCCGCAGTAAATTGGTGTGTTCTCTTATTTATTATCTAGGCTTAACCTTTTATTTAAGAAATTCCTGATATCTATTTTTATGTGACTAGGAAAAAGAAAAGGAATCTGTATCTGCTAAGGAGCTCTTTGTTGTCACAAGAACAAGAAAACCTGATCGTTTGTACAAGGCATCAAATGAGAACACAACTAGTAAAATTGTACGAATACTGTCAATATAATATTTTTTTATTAAGACAAATTATTTATTCTAAATTTTAATTTACAAGACTGCTTGTTGGATATGTTTTCTTAGGCTGAAATGGAGGAAATTGAAAAGCAAATGAGCAAAAATGGTCAGTCTGTTGATGCATTTTCAGCTGTCATGGGTCCTGAACATTCGGGTCGTCTAAGACTATACGGAGTGGGGGTTACAAAGTCAACTCTGAAAAAGAAAGTTGACAATTCTGAACCAACTTTAAATGCAACAAATGATGTAGTGCAACAAATGCAAGAAAGGATGCAAAAAATGGAGAAACAAATGGAGGAACAAAGGAGAACTATGCGACAAGAAGTTATTGCTGATGTAGTTGCACAACTTTAGCATGCATGATTAATTGATCCTAACATACTAGCTGCATTGTCCGTTCCTTCACCAAGAGAAGCTACTTCTGCTCAAACAGCTGAGCAAGGTTAGTGTGGCTAAATCTCTGTTTAGACTATTTCTTCTTCTCCTTCTACTACTACTTTATCTTTCTCTTGCAACTCTTTTTCATTTCTCTATTGCGACGTACTTTCTCTTGACAGTAGAAAACATTAATACTCTTGGCTACACTTAATAGTGTATTTTCCGATTTCCTGGTGGACTAGTTTGTTAATTGAATTGATGGTGATTTGAGTTTTGTAAGCTAGCCCTCCTAATCATTGCCTAATGAATCTCGAGACAATTTCATATTTATATTATATTACACGTACGTTTTAGCCTGAAAACTCTTTCTAGTGGCTTTTTTTGAAATATTGTATCTCCCCCAGCAAAGTTCTCTATTGTAAATTCTTTTTTCTCATTGTAGCATTTTAATGTTTGTTGGACTGCTGTGAATGGCCTATGTTAGCAGACACCTCTTGTGAATGGCCAGTGTTATCATTTTTTGCTTTTCTTTT